CTGGCTCGGGGAGGCTGCGGTGTACAAAGTAAACTTGAGGATCCGGCCCAAGGCTAAATCTACGGGTCGGTTTTGGAGGTCGTCTCGGAAATCGTGGCGGCCACAAATCGGGGTAAGGTTCTTTGTCAAGGGGTGGCATGCCCTCTCCCAGCCCCCTCCGCTGTGGACGTAGCCCATACTTACCAATCTTGTGACCGAAAGTTGTAAGTTTGTGTCCAACGTGGGCGGTCATGCTTTGTTGGTCAGGGTCGATTGCCGCGCAATCATCGAAGGTCGTCGCCGCAAGGATCGGATCGGCTTCGGTCTTGCGAGCCCCAAGAATACACACCACCACGTCGATGCCTCCTCCCTCCTCTACCCTCCTCTTCCTCTCCCCTCTCCTGGGAGAGGGAAGGGGTGAGGGAGGTGGCGGTGGTGCATACTCTTCGACCCCGTAGGTCTGGCCCTTTAGCAGCTCTTGCGTGACGCCGGGCCCCGGGGGATCTCGGCCCCTTCCCGAGGGGGGCGCTTTTGTCATCCCAGGCCGTCCTTTGCGGCGGCCCTGGCGCCGAGCAACGGCACCTTAGGGTTCCAGGAGTAAGTCGGGCACGTCCCTCTACAGGAGGAATGTGCAAAAACAGTACAAACATAGTATGGTGACGATTTCTCGAAGACTTTTTTTTCATTCTTCAAGTCGAATTCGCAATGACGACGATACGATCGAGGCAAGGGGAATTCACGTGCAATCACGTTGATCCTCGAACTTCATCCTCGAACCACGATCCGATCCCAGATCGCCCAAAGAGGGCGCAGGCGAGGGTCGAGCATTGGATCCTGGCCATGTCCTGGGTGCGTCATGGCCAGAAATTCGTTGCGGATCCAGCCGAGACCACGAGGGGCCCCCCAGTGACCCCAAAAGGGCGACAAGCTCTGAGGCGGGGGTTTCTCCATCGCCACCGCCTGAGGGATCGTTCTTCGAGTACCCCAGCAGGCGGTGGATTTGGATATCTTGCATCGCTTCGCTCATTCCGCCGCTCCATCTCGTATCATTGTTGGTGAGTCGTTGAAGGTCCCTGGAAGGCCTTGTGGGAGGATTGTTTTGTAGTTTTGGTGGCACGTACCTGCGCTCGCGGGGGCATGTTTGGGGCCTCCTGGGGCCTCTTGGGACATTTTGGGACCTCTTGGGGGCCTCTCGGGAATATTTGAGAGTGTCTTGGGGGCGTTTTGGAGACTTTCTGGTAGTCTCGGGGGCCATGTTTCGGCAAAGAGTAAAGAGCTCGACATCTCAGTTCGGGTTCCCTTCTTGAGGCCCTCTTGGAAGGTCTGAAGCCTTCTTTTGCCGTCTTGGGGCCCTCGTGGGCCCTCTTGAGGCTGTCGTGAGAGCCTCTTGGGCTGACTTGAGGCGTTCTTTGGGGCTTCTTGGGCTGCCTTGGGCGGTCGGAGGACTCAAGAGGCGGCACCGCCCAAATCCTTCAAACACCCAAGCAAATTCAATGCATCTTGGCTTCCAGGAGCCCTTTCGGTGCTGTATTGGACGATTGTGGAGCTATCTTGAGCCTCTTGGGATTATCGTCGGGCCATAGGGTGGCCTGCTGGCCTGCTGCCCATTGATTCCGACTGGAGTGCTCTCTTGGAGCTCCCTTGGGGCGCTCCAGGGGCGCTCTTGGGGGTCCTTGAGACTGACCCCAGGAGTTCGGGCATCCGTCTGGGGACCGCCTGGGTATTTTTCGCCCCAGGACCCCCAGGGGCCGCCACGCGCGCGCGCGAATTAACAACATTCAAACCTCTTACTGACGATCTTAGTACGCCTCTCGCCCGTTGTATTCGGGCCCTTGGGGGGGGGGGCAACGCATCCACATTCGCTGCCTGACGAGGTTCCCGAAGAAGGAGCCCCCAGGCAGTGGCGATGGAGAAAGTCCCGCCTTGCACAAACGTCTGAAAGCCTCAGGGGTCAAACACCGAGTTAGGTGCGTTCTGGACTTCGAGGCGTGTGGCAAAGGGGAGCCCCCCAGAGGCGCGACAAGGGCAAACAAAACAAACCAAGACGAAGACGCATCTCGAAGTGTGAACCTGGAAGTTTGAACTGCCACCTCCATCACTCTTTCTGGCTTCGATATTGTACAGGCCTATCCGCGATTTGTGGCCCGTCCGTTATGGTGTTCGCTCCTCTCGTTCTTCCTCCCCTCCTCCCTCATCTCCTCGAGTCCTCCAGATTGCACCGGTGCAATGCTTCTGAAGCTGGCGGAAGTTTCCTCGTAATCACAAAACAAGTCCCTCTGGCCTCGGTCCTCGATCGGCAGCGATCGGCGCTCGGGACTTGCGCGCGCGAGAGAGGCGAGTGGGCCGCCGTTGCTGGTGCGGGCGTTCTCCGTGCGCCGCGGGCTGGCGGCGCTCACGCTGCCGGGGCCGCAGGACGTGACGATCGCCGCCATTGCGCTGCCGCTCGCTGCTCGCTGCTCGTCGTCGTCGCCGTCGCTCGTTGCTCGCCGTCCCCAGACTCCCTCGAGCCATTCAAAATCACGGCGGCAGGTGCTATTTTCGTCCCCTGGGGGCCCTCGTCGGGCCACGGGACTGTCAATCATCGTAAGCACCCAGTTTGCCTTCCATCGGGTTTTGCATTCTTGGGCAAGGGCGCGACAGGGTCTGCGACGAGGGACGAGGCGGCTTGCGCCCAGGTAGCTGGAGTACCCACGTCTTCCCGTCCGTCGCCTTCGGTGTTTCACCGAGCCGTTTTGCCGGACACCACGGCGCTTCGGAGCGTCATCGTCTATATTAGGGATCCTTGCCTTGCCTCCTGGCGCATCATGTGCCATCTCGTCATTTCTCTCTTGCCCCTCCTTCTCGTCTACATCCCCCGCTGTCAATTCTTCCCTCCTCCTTCGCCTCCTCCTCCGCCTCCTCCTCGTCCTTGTTTTCCTTTCCCCTGTGCGGTCCTCCGCACTGGGCTGGCTGCCGGCTTCGGCCAGCTTGGAGTGGACAGGATGGCCGAGATTTGTTTGGATGGCCGGGTAAGCTTTGCCCCTGCTGGTCGGGCTGGCGCGATGGGTGCCAGCTGCTTTCCTTGGCCTGGCTGGTTGAGTGCTCTTGGCCTGGACGGTCAGGCTGCGACGGCTGGCTCTGCCCGCGAGGATAGCCAGGCGGGCTTACTTGGCCCGCCCCCTCTGGCTGACTGGACCTGCCGCGGTCGCCTGGGTAATTTCCCATTCGATGGATGTCCAGACAACGACGCTCAGGCTCGAAATGTCGGCGCCACCGGACTGGCGCTTCAGTTTGAGAACGTAATTCCCGCGCAGCAGCGCCAACTAACGTCCCAGCGATGAAGTGGCAACACTACGCCGCCCTGTTTGCACCGAGGGGCAATCACGCACACACAAGGGCATCACACACGAAACGTTCGATGCATTGCGAAGTTTGCTGCCTCCTTGTTTCATGAGAAGAGGCCCCGTCTCAATCTGCATCTAGTCTTCTTGGGATTATACTCCTAGCTCTCGAGTCAGTCTTGTGCCAAGATATACAAGGTCAGTACGAGCGCCCAGGGTCATCATCATCATCATCATCATCATCATCATCATCATCATCATCATCATCATCATCATCGTAATCATCGTCATCATCATCGTCATCATCACCTTCGCCGGGAAAATCGTTGATTATCCCCGCCAGACCCCCGAACTTTCTTATCCCCAGGGGATTATTGTTGGGAGCAGTTGGTTACTTATATCCGGCCCCCTCCTCCTCCATGTCGTGCTCTCCGAGCTGCTCCTCCTTCGCCCTCCCTCCTTCCCCTTTCCCCTCCTCGCGCTACTCCTTCCGCCTTCCTCCACCCGTCTTCCTTCTCACATACTGCCTCCTCGCCCATCGAACCCCAAGCACCTGGTAATAGAAGCCTTACCCTCTTGAGCTTCCTGTCCTCTCCGTCTCACAGGTGTCGAACTTTTTGAGGCGGCGCCAAAGGGGATCGGCACTTTGTAATTCAGGGTGGCTCACGACATGGGAAGGTGCGGTCTGATTGCACTGAATCGTTGTGAGGTTGTGGTTTCTCTTGGCACCCATGCATCAGCTATACATGTTATGGCACAGGTAGTTCGGGCGATTGCAGCACTTCTTTGTGAGACAGGATTGACCATTGTATGCGTGATCTATCCGACGACCGTAACCATAAAACAATACCGACCCGAGTACTACAACATTTGACGGACCACGCCCCCTAGTTCTAATCTTAGCACGGCCGCGCTCTGTCGTGTACAGCAGCGTCTCGTTGCGGTAGTTGTTATGTTCATGCTTATATGTCGGCGGTGTCCTGTGGCACGAACCGAACCCCCTAGGATTCCTTGGGGGTTCGAACCGCCGGTCGCAGCGGGTGCCGCCGACGACCCTGAATCCCCCTCCCTCCCGTTTCCTGCGGAGGTCGTACCTTTTCCTCCTCCTCCTCCTCCTCCTTATCCTATTTTTTTTGCGTACCCGGCGCGCCCGGTTGCCGCTGACAGCCCGTATACCCCCCCCCCGCTTTGGTGGAGTGGCGGTGGTGGGTCTCGCTCTCTCCCCTTCTCCTCCTCTTCTTCCTCCTCCTCCTCCTCCTCTTCTCCTCCTCTCTCATCCTTCTCCTCTTCTTCCTCGTCCTCTTCCTCCTCCTCTTCCTCCTCCTCCTCTTCACCTCCCCTGTTGGATTGGGGGGTGGGTCTCCCTGTGGTCGTTCGGGGGTGGGTCTCCTTTTAGACAGCGGTTTGCCAAGGTTTCCTGAGGGATTCATACGGATTCTTCAGAGCTTTCTGAGGATTCCTCTGGGCTTCCTGAAGAAATGTTGGAGGATCCGTGAGGCATCCTGAAAGATTCCCGAAGACTCTTGGGCAATTCCTGCAGGATTCCGTAGGGAGTCCTGGAGATCCCTGGGGATATTGAGGACTCCTCCGGGATCCTGAGGAATTCTTTGGATCCGGGAGGGATTCTGGAGGATCCATGCCGGGGGTTGCTAGCCCGTACCTCCATGTGCGCGCCGCCGAGAAGAATCCATCTCCTGAGCACTCGAGCGGGCGCCACCTCCGGGCGCTCCCCGCGGCCGCCACACCTCACCCTCGGACGGTTCCGTAGCCCTCGGACGTCAAGGTCAAGGCTTAGGAAGTAGGAGCGCTCTGTTTCTCACCTGCCCAGGTGCCTTCGCGGGGCCGAGGGATGGCGATGCCTATCAAGCCCGCGGGATGTGCGGCCGAGTTCATCGGGATGTTCGTCTTCGTGGCTTTTTGCTGCGGCACTGCCACCGGCGTCGCAGGGACCAGCGGGTGGGTTCAGCAGGTGGCGCTGACGTTCGGGTTCTGCATCTTCGTGCTCGCGAGCGCCCTCGGGCGATGGGGGCTCCACTGCAACTGCGCGGTGACGTTCGCGCTCGCGACCGCCAAGCTCTTTGGCATCGGGGACATGGGCATTCTCCAGGCGGCCGTGAACCTCGTCTTCCAGGTCCTCGGCTCCGTCGCGGGGGCGGCGCTAGTTGCACTCATCAAGGAGACGGACAGCGACAGGACTCCAGACGGCGTGCCTGGCGGAGGGGCACTCGGCTCCAACATGCTTGCGGCCGACATCGGCATTGGGGAGGCCCTCGCAGGTGAAGCTTTGGGTACCTTCCTGCTCGTGTTCATGGTGCTGCAGGCCGTCGTGGACAAGACGAAGAACGTCACGATGCCCCTGGCCATCGGCGTGGCCGTCTATCTCGCCCACTCCATCCTTATCCCGATCGACGGGTGCTCCATCAACCCGACCCGAACCATCGGGCCTGCGCTCGTCGCGACGTTTCTCCTTGACAGGGTCACCGATGAGGTCAGCGACAAGATCTGGGAGCACATGTGGGTCTTCTGGGCGGGCCCGCTCTGCGGGGCGCTCTTGGCGGTCCTCGCCCACGTGGTGATGCACACGCTGCCGGGGCAGCCCGACGCGGATAAGGAGAAGGGAGAGGACAGCCTCAAGGACGACGTCGACACGTCGATCTGAGCGAAGATCTCCGCGGATTGAACGTCTGCCGGTCTTGCACGAAGCGAGGAGGAGGAGGAGGACGAGGAGGAGGAGGAGGAGGAGGAGGAGGAGGAGGAGGAGCTGGCGGTGCACGGGGAGGACGAGGACGAGGACCACGAGGAAGCGAACGACGGGGACGCCAACGAACGGCGCATTGCGAGATACAGAGTGGAGCACGGGCTCTGAGGTCAGTATTGGCCTCCACCGCGCGCTGGCAAAGACAACGGCGCGCTCCCCTACAGCCCCACGCCAACCAGGGCGTCGACGCAGCGCGCCCGCCTCGACATTTTTGGGGCTCAGCGGCGAGACATGTGTGCCCTCGTATTGCAGGCTATGGCGTCCTCCTCCTCCTCCTCCTCCTCCTCCTCCTCCTCCTCCTCCTCCTGCGCCTCATGATGTTGCCCTTGCCCCCTCTGTTCTTCAGCCGCGTACGAGCAGATAGCTTTTCATTGTGCTGCATCCGATTTGCAGCGCAGCGCATCCCGCACAGGGTCTGCAGGGCAATCTCGTCAGCAGGCACACGTCTCGCATCTTGAGGAGCTCGCACACGGCCCGGCCCATGCGTGCCTCTGACCAGACTGACTTGCATGCGCTCTTCAGCGGTGTGAGAAAAACAAGTCGCCCCTCGGACGCCCCGCGCCCGGCGTTCGCCTCTGCCCCGGCGTTCGGCGAGGCCTCGGGGCAACATCGGGGCGGGAGGGGCGGCCGAGAGGGGTGTGATGCCTGGGGCGGGTGGGCGGATGTCATGGCGGGGGCCACGACATCTCCCGAGATTTCATGGCGCCTCTCCTTATCTCATGACGTCCCCGGCCCCGCCTTTGGGCCGCGCGCATGCCGCCGGCCATGATTTGCGCGACCCCCCCTCTTGGACGCCCCCTTCCTGGACGCCCCCGAGGGGGGGGGGCGTCGAGCCGACCGTGCTCGTCTTGAGGGTCTCGGTTTTGAGCTCGAGTCTGAGTTGCTCGAGTCTCCTCCCATCTGCTTCCCCTTCGACGTCGCCGTGCATTTCGTGAATCGGGCTGTGGATTCTCTGCTGCTTCAACAGTTGCCTGATATGGGTACCCGGCACGCGCGAGTCGGCACCTGCGCCAGAGGACATCGATGTCGTCTCGAATGTAGGCGAGAGGCGAAGTCGACAGGCTGTGAATGCGGGGATGTGAATATGGAGAGTTGGGACCTCAAACCACAGGGTAGGGCAGAGAGGGGGCGGGGCTTCTTAATAGAAGCCCTACCAGACAGCATCTGGAATTCCACAACGCCTCAACGTGCAAGGGAGCACGGTGGCGGTCGCCATTCCCCTAACACCAGTGCCCAGCTGATGTCATAAACCAGCTGAACTGGATATCGTGCGAAGTGCCGTGATTGCAGTCAGGCTTGGCCTCGGCGCGCATTCGTCGATTTGTGTGCCCTCTGGGCTTGGTCGCTAGAACGTCGTCGACGGCTTCGGCCCTTTTTGCCTGACCCTGAGGTGTAAAGACCGCCGCGTGCCAGTTGTCGCAGGCGTTCGATGAGTGAACACATCTTCCTATGTTCCAACATCTTCCAAGTTAAACAGCGTTGTGTTCAGTGTTTCGGCCCAGCCCTGTGCATCGTGTAATTCAGGTTGACCATATCCGTTCACTTTGGCAGGTAGACATTGCGCGAGGGCCCCGCCATACGCAAACCCGAGTTTGTGAAAACATGTGGTTGTCAAATGTTCTGTGTGTGCTTGCGCTGTGGCAGTTGACCAGGTCGGGCAATGCTCGCCCATTTTTCAGGGTCATCGGAGCAGTAATTATTAAGAACATGGAAACATGATGCTGATGATCTTGATGATGGTGATGGTGATGGTGATAACGATGATGATGGTGATGCTGCTGATGATGATGATGATGACGACGACGACGAGAATGATAGGACGACGACGTCGACGGTGATGATGAGGAGGAGGACGTGGAGGAGAAGGAGAAATGTAGGAGGAGGATATCCGTCACATGTGATCCTTGCCGTCGCCACTTTTTTGGATGATCGTTCACGAACCTCGCTTCGGCCGTTTTGGAAGTCCTGTGCTCCTGTGGGGTACTTTTGAAGAGCCCGTGGGGCCTCGTGGGGCCGTCTTGGGACTCCGTTGGAGTCTTCGCGGCCGTCCCGGGGCTCCTTTTGGGGCCGTCTTTGGGGGGGTCCTCTGAGGCCGTTTTGGGTGACGTCCTGTGCCGTCTGGGCCCCAGACGTGTTTGAGCCATCTTGGGCCGACTTGGGGCTGCCCTGAGCCCTTGGCATCGCTCGGACGTGTGCATTTTTTCCTTCGGCGAGGACCATCGAGGAGCATCCTCCATCATTCGGCAAATTAGCCTGGCGAAGGACCCAACCATATGCAGTTGTGACTGCCGCAATTGTGCTGGGTGGTGGCGGACGCATGCGGGCGGTGCCACTGGGACCTTCGGTGGAGCTCCCTATGGGGCCACGAAGCGCTGTACTGGGTGGGTGAGACGCGGTCAGCAAGGGCTGTGCTGCGTGGTGGCGGACGCATGCGAGCGGTGCCACTGGGACCTTCGGTGGAGCTCCCTATGGGGCCACGAAACGCTGTACTGGGTGGGTGAAACGCAGGCAGGGAGCAAGGGCTGTGCAGGGTGGTGGCGGACGCATGCGGGCGGTGCCGCTGGGACCTTTGGTGGAGCTCCCTATAGGGCTACGAAGCGCTGTTCTGGGTGGGTGAAGCGCAGGGAACAAGGGCTGTGCTGGGTGGTGGCGGACGCAAGCGGGCAGTGCCACTGGGACCTTTGGTGGAGCCCCCTATGGGGCCACGAAACGTGCGAGGGGTGTGCCAGAATGGGGTGTGGAACCGCATGCCAGCGCAGCCACTGGGGCCTTCGGTGGAGCTCCCTATGGAGCCACGAAACGTGTGAGGGGTGTGCCGAAATGGGGGGTGGAACCGCATGCGAGCGCAGCCACTGCGGCGTTCGGTGGAGCTCCCTATGGGGCCACGAGACGTGTGAAGGGCGTGCCGAAAAAGGGGGTGGAACCGCATGCGAGCGCAGCCACTGGGGCCTTCGGTGGAGCTCTCTATGGGGCCACGAACCGTGTGAGGGGTGTGCCGAAATGGGGGGGGAACCACATGCGAGCGCAGCCACTGGGGCGTTCGGTGGAGCTCCCCATGGAGCCACCCACGAAGCGTGTGAGGGGTGTGCCGAAATGGGGGGTGGGACCGCATGCGAGCGCAGCCACTGGAGCATTCGGTGGAGCTCCCTATGGGGCCACGAAACGTGTGAGGGGTGTGCCAGAATGGGGGGTGGAACCGCATGCGGGCGCAGCCACTGGGGCCTTCGGTGGAGCTCCCTATGGGGCCACGAAACGTGTGAGGGGTGTGCCAGAATGGGGGGTGGAACCGCATGCGGGCGCAGCCACTGGGGCCTTCGGTGGAGCTCCCTATGGGGCCACGAAACGTGTGAGGGGTGTGCCAGAATGGGGGGTGGAACCGCATGCGGGCGCAGCCACTGGGGCCTTCGGTGGAGCTCCCTATGGGGCCACGAAACGTGTGAGGGGTGTGCCAGAATGGGGGGTGGAACCGCATGCGGGCGCAGCCACTGGGGCCTTCGGTGGAGCTCCCTATGGGGCCACGAAACGTGTGAGGGGTGTGCCAGAATGGGGGGTGGAACCGCATGCGGGCGCAGCCACTGGGGCCTTCGGTGGAGCTCCCTATGGGGCCACGAAACGTGTGAGGGGTGTGCCAGAATGGGGGGTGGAACCGCATGCGGGCGCAGCCACTGGGGCCTTCGGTGGAGCTCCCTATGGGGCCACGAAACGTGTGAGGGGTGTGCCAGAATGGGGGGTGGAACCGCATGCGGGCGCAGCCACTGGGGCCTTCGGTGGAGCTCCCTATGGGGCCACGAAACGTGTGAGGGGTGTGCCAGAATGGGGGGTGGAACCGCATGCGGGCGCAGCCACTGGGGCCTTCGGTGGAGCTCCCTATGGGGCCACGAAACGTGTGAGGGGTGTGCCAGAATGGGGGTGGAACCGCATGCGGGCGCAGCCACTGGGGCCTTCGGTGGAGCTCCCTATGGGGCCACGAAACGTGTGAGGGGTGTGCCAGAATGGGGGGTGGAACCGCATGCGGGCGCAGCCACTGGGGCCTTCGGTGGAGCTCCCTATGGGGCCACGAAACGTGTGAGGGGTGTGCCAGAATGGGGGGTGGAACCGCATGCGGGCGCAGCCACTGGGGCCTTCGGTGGAGCTCCCTATGGGGCCACGAAACGTGTGAGGGGTGTGCCAGAATGGGGGGTGGAACCGCATGCGGGCGCAGCCACTGGGGCCTTCGGTGGAGCTCCCTATGGGGCCACGAAACGTGTGAGGGGTGTGCCAGAATGGGGGGTGGAACCGCATGCGGGCGCAGCCACTGGGGCCTTCGGTGGAGCTCCCTATGGGGCCACGAAACGTGTGAGGGGTGTGCCAGAATGGGGGGTGGAACCGCATGCGGGCGCAGCCACTGGGGCCTTCGGTGGAGCTCCCTATGGGGCCACGAAACGTGTGAGGGGTGTGCCAGAATGGGGGTGGAACCGCATGCGGGCGCAGCCACTGGGGCCTTCGGTGGAGCATTGGGGCCTTCGGTGGAGCTCCCTATGGGGCCACGAAACGTGTGAGGGGTGTGCCAGAATGGGGGGTGGAACCGCATGCGGGCGCAGCCACTGGGGCCTTCGGTGGAGCTCCCTATGGGGCCACGAAACGTGTGAGGGGTGTGCCAGAATGGGGGGTGGAACCGCATGCGGGCGCAGCCACTGGGGCCTTCGGTGGAGCTCCCTATGGGGCCACGAAACGTGTGAGGGGTGTGCCAGAATGGGGGGTGGAACCGCATGCGGGCGCAGCCACTGGGGCCTTCGGTGGAGCTCCCTATGGGGCCACGACACGTGTGAGGGATGTGCCAGAATGGGGTGTGGGAGCGGGAGGAGTGGGGAGGAAGGGGAGGAGGAGGAAGGAGGAGGAAGGAGGAACGCGGGGCGACGTCTCTTCAAAACGAGGACCCAACACCACAGGATGGTTGGGAAAAACACCACGCACGAAACCGAAAAAAAAACACAGGGAATGGACGTCCAAGCGATGGCGAGAGCCCCTCGCGGGCTGGCGTGAGGCCTCAGTGCACGCTTCTTAAGCCGCAGTGAGCTCAGGCAACCTGGCAAGGGGAGGGTGCCACACCTCATCAAACAAGGACAGCGTAAATGTCAACGCGCGTGAGCAGAGAGGAGCACTACTCCAGTTTTTTCATGGGGATCGTGGCCTCGGGAATGGGGTGCGACGCATGCGGGGAACGCGGCCCAGGGGGAGGGCCCCTTGCTAGAATACAGGAATCCTACCAGACAGCATTGAGCAGTCTACCACGCCTGAACGCGCCAGGGGGCACGGTGGCGGAACAATGCATCTTGCCACAAACAACATATTCGCAATCACCGTCGTCGTCGTCATCGCCCCCACCATCGTCATCATACAGCGACTTGTCGGCAATTGTGGGTTTGCATGTGGCCGCACCTCCTTGCTCAAGTTCTTGAGGGGATGCAGGCATTGTTCGAACGCCTCACGCACGATCTCGCCAGTGCCCTCTCCACAGCTCTCATCGTCCGAGGCAGTTCGCCTCCGTGCCCCGCCTGCGATTGCGTGTGCTCGCCCGCGCTGCATTGTCCCGCGCTGGAGCGCCGCTGCCCAGGCGGTTTGGGTGCGGTGACCGCCGCCCCCTCGGAGGCCGAGGCCTCGGGCTTCTCGGGCGCCGCGCTGGGCACCTCGCTGCTCCTCGGCGCGCTGGGCGGCTGGGCGCTCGCCCGCTGGGCCTCGCGCTGCGCGGCGCCCTCGACTCGGGGTAAGCCGTTCGCGCTGGAGGCGGACGTGCGCACGACCGACTTGGCAGTGGAGGCGGCAGCGCAGGCTGCTCGCTTTCGCAGAGCGTAGTCGTGATGGCGACGCCCGCCGCTGGGCAGTTCCACCTGGTGAGGTACAACGTGGGCGGCCCTGCGATCTACCACGAGCGTTTGACGCTGTTGCCTGGGTACGTCCTCGCGCCCGACGGGGATGACTATGCCGAGGTCGCCGTCCCGAACCACGACATCCGATCGATTCACATTCTCAGTGGCCAAGGTGAGGGGCTGCCAGGGATACCGCCTCAGCATCTATATCAGTTTCGACAGCTGCCTCGGGCTGCTGAGGTGTGGGCGGCGC